CGCCTGGCCGCGCTCAAGGATGAGCCGCAGACGGTGCCCGATGTGCCGAGCTTCGGCGAGAGCCCGCCGCTGTCGCCCATCGACATGGACACGCAGGAGCGTATCAAGGCGGAGCGCAAGCGGCTGCGCAACCGCATCGCCGCCTCCAAGTGCCGCAAGCGCAAGCTCGAGCGCATCTCGCGCCTGGAGGAGAAGGTCAAGACGCTCAAGAGCCAGAACACCGAGCTGGCGTCCACCGCGAGCCTGCTGCGGGAGCAGGTGGCGCAGCTCAAGCAGAAAGTGCTCAGCCACGTCAACAGCGGCTGCCAGCTGCTGCCGCAGCACCAGGTGCCCGCGTACTGAGCCCGGAGCGGCGCGCATGCGCGGCCCCCGGGGAGGGGGGGCGTATGCGCCCGGGACTTGGAGCGGGTGCCGCGCCGGGGAGCGCCCCCGGGGGTGCCCGGGACTGGAGAGGGTGCCGCCCCAGGGAGCGCTACGCAGGGTGCTCGGGGCTGAAGAGGGTGCCTTCGGGGGATCCTTCCCTAGGGCGCCTGGGACCGGAGAGGGGCCTGTCCCCGGGGTCGGCCCCCGAGGGTGCCCAGGACTGGAGAGGGCGCGGCCCCCACCCCCGAGGGCTCCCAGGGCCGCAGAGGGCGCCCTGGATCGACAAGCTGGGCCCCCTGCCCGGGGGGCGAGCGCACGACCCCCGCCCCGCGCCGCCTCTGCCCGTGCCCGCCGCCCTTTGTGTGCCGCCGCGGGGGCCCCGGGCCGCGCAGCCTCCAGCCCTGCGAGCTCCTTTCTCTTTCTATTTTTTGCCTTTGGAAGAGAGACGAACAGAGTGGTCGACTGTGCCCTATTTATGTTTCTACTCGGGAACAAACGTTGGTTGCGTGTGCGTGTGTGTTTTATCGTGTTGGATTTTTTTAAAGAAACGAGAAGAAGAAAAAAACGCTCCTCCCCTTTCCTGGCTCTCGCCCCGGCCGTTCCTCCACGCCGTCCCCGCCCCTCCGCCCTTTTTGTTCTGTTGTTTTGTTTTGCCACGAGCCCACATTCCTGTTTGTAATCCTCGGTTCGCCCGGTTCTGTTTTCAGTAAAGTCTCCTTACGCCAGCTCGCCTGTCCGCCTCCTTCTTCCCCCGCCGGCCCGAGGGCCTGGGCGGAGCCGGGCCGCTCCCGTCCCCGCGCCCGCTCCCCCGCGCTCCCGGGGCGGCCGGGCGGGGCCTGCACATCTGGCGCGCGGCGGGCGAGCGCCATCTAGGCGCACGGATGCCCGGGGCGGGGAGGGGACGTGGGTGTCCCCTTAGCCTGCTGGGAAGGAGGGGTCTCGAGGTGGGCCGGAGCCGCCCCGTCCAGGACCGGAAGGAGGAGGCAGAAACGTCCCCTTTTCTTCAACTCTTCCGGCCTGTGCGCCCCTGACTCCAGTGGGTGGGACCGCGGAAACCTTGTTCTTTGTTGGAGGGAGCACGTCGTGGTCCCACCAGGAAGGAGGTAGCAGAGCGGGTCTGACCCGAGAGACGCCCCCCACCCTGGGACTGGGGTGTGGCCAGGACCGGGCAGGCTGTCCCCGAAGCACCCTCCTCGCCAACATTCTATTCTCCACTTGGGGACGTTTGAAGACTCAAGTTGAACCAGTGGCTGGAGGTCACACAGGGTTTTCAGGACCCAAGGCCTTGGGCTTCTGACTCAGCAGGACCCTTTAGGGATGTGCTCGCAGGTGGCCCGGTCATGCCCAGCCAGTCCTGCAGGGGAAGCCAGGGTAACTGCCCTTCACAGGTGGGACGGGCACAGCGGCACCAAAGCCCCACGGCCAGCAAGTGTAGGTCCTTCCCTCAGGTCTCTTCCTTCATGGACCACCTGGCTGCCAGCTTGCCGGACTTTGGTGTTTATTTACTTTTGCAGTCCTGGGGAGTGAGCCCAGGACCTTTGCACTGAGCTACATCCACAGCGTTCTAAAAATATTGTATTAATTAGTTGAGACAGGATCTTGTAGCCCAGGCTGACCTTGGACTTGTGGTGATCCTCCTGCCTCAGCCTCCAGAGTACTGGGATGACAGGCATGTGGCACCAGGTGGGCTTAGTGTTCAGCTCAGGAGCCTGGCTGCCTTCCTCTGCTGAGCTTTGTGTCCGAGCGGGGAAGCAGGTGTGCCCAGTGCAGCCTCCTCTCCGCAAGAGCTGGGGAGGCTGGGATGGAGGGCTTCTGCTTTCCTTTTCCTCCTTGCTTTTTCCCTCCCTTTCTCCCTCTCTGCCCTTTTTATTTTCTGTAGTGACGGATCAGTCCAGTTCCTGCTACATGCGGAGCAGTTGCTCTACCACTGCAGCGCCCCCACCCCCACCCCACCCTTTCTACTTTTTGGTGTGTTTTGAAACCACAGATCTGGCCCCAGCTCCAACAATTTCTTTTTTCTTGGCCTCAGGACCTTTGCACAGCCCCGTAGCTGAGCTCCACTCCCAACTGGGGTGCACACAGTGCTCTCCCGCCATGCTTACAACCGCGCTGGCCCAAACCTTCCTGGCTGTGGCCAGGCTCTGGCCCCTGTCCCATCAGGGTCTCTGGTCACCCCTGAAACTGATAAAAGGACCTAAGGCTTGTGCAGCTGCCTCCCCCTTTATTTCTTTGTAGCCTTTGGGGTTGAATGCAGAGCCTGACACAAGCTCCATCCCCAGCGCCTTATTTAGATTCTGGATCTAAGTTGCCCAGGCTGGCCTGGAACTCTTGATCCTCTTGCCTCCGCCTCCCGAAGCCTGGATTCCAGCATGCGCCACAAGCCGGTTCAGCTCATGTCCTTGGTTTCTCCCAAGCCCCACCCTTTTGGCTCCTCCAACAGCCCAAGGACTCTCAGGGGAGGCCGGGCCGTGTGGCCTTGGCCTGAGCCCTCTGCGCTGCGGCCAAGGTGTGTGTCAGCCTTGGCCTGGCCAGCGATGACTCACTCTGGGTGGTGGCCTGGTCCTCGAGCTGGCCCGTGTCCCCCTCCAGGGATATGGCCCTAGGGCAGTGCCCACTGTCACCCGTGGGAGCCCTGGGGGCCTCAGGTCCAGCTCTGCCCCTGGGAGCCCCACACAGCTGGACCAGACATGCCACCCAGTCCTGTAGGGTGGAAGTCAGGACACATCCAGCCTGCTCTAAGCGCTCTCAGCCCTGGCACCTTCTCTGTAAAAACGGATTCCAGCGCCCATAATCCCTCCTGCTGGGAGGCTGAGGCAGGAAGATCTCAAATTCAAACAGTTTAATGAGACTATCTCAAAATAACAATCACAAACAGGGCTCGGGGTGTGGCTCACGGGAAATAAGAAATAAAGAAGAACCCCTTGCAACCAGTACAAACTCCTACATTGCTCTCTGAGGCCCCACCTACTTGTGCCCTGCCGATCTCCTGCAGCCACGCCAGCCTCCTCCGTGTTCTTGATCACACCCAGCTCCCTCCTGCCTCAGAGCTGGCCCATGCATCTCCCTGGGACCCTGTTCCCCCAGCTCTTCCCAGGGTCTCCCCAAGTTTCTCCTCTTTTTTTTTTCTTTTTTTTTCTTTTTTTCTTTTTGAGACAGGGTCTCACTGTGCAGTTTAGGCTGGACTTGAGCTCACTTTGTAGCCCAGGCTGGTCTTGAACTCGCAACGATCCTCCTGCCTCAGCTTCCTGAACACTGGGATTATAAGCTTGTGCCACCACATCTGGCCTTGCTAGACTTGAAGTTATGATTCTCCTGCTTCAACTTCCAGTTATGGGGGAGGTTTTGAGTCAGGGTCTTTTTTTTTTTTTTTTTGTCTTTTCCAAGGCAGGGTCTTGCTATACAGTTCAGGCTGGCCTTGAGCTCATTTTGTAACCCAAGCTGATCTTGAACTCACAACAATCCTCCTGCCTCAGCCTCCCCAGTGCTGGGATTACAGGCATTCGCCACCATGTCCAGCCTTGAGTCAGGGTCTTGCTATGTATTTCAGGCTGAACTTGAACTCACTATGTAGCCCAGGCTGGTCTCGAACTCGCAAAGATCCTCCTGCCTCAGCCTCCCGAGTGCTGGGATCACAGGTGTATGTCACCACGCCTGGCAGCCTCCACTTTTAAACCCCAGAGTGTTTGTCTTGTGTTCCCACACCGAGGCAGATTTCAGCATACGGTAGGTGCTCAGCAAATACCCAAGGAGGGAAACCTCCGCATTATGGAGAGGCGGGATTTTGGGTCCCCTCTGTTCCCAGAGCCACCTTTCCGCCTAGGACGTCCAGGCCACGGGTAGCAGCCACACGCCTCAGCCCGACCCACGTCCCGTGGCCCCGTGCAGCCCTGCCTTCTAGAGCCCCCTCCCCCAAGGGCTGCAGGGATTGGCCGGAACCGAGCCGGGTCACAGAGCGCCCTGGCAGCACCCGGCACCAGACCGGCTACCGGGGCTGGTGGATTCAGCTGCAGGGGCAGGTGAGGGGGCCTGGCAGGGCTGCTGTGGGCACACGGGGACCCTGTCACTCTCCTCAGTGTCCCTGAAGTCCCACTGGGCTGCTCTGATGAGCAGATGAGCAGCTCAGTCCCTCAGAGCAGGGATGCCCGTCCCCAAAACCTTGGGGCCCATCCTGGCCAGCCCCTCTGTCTCCTTGGGGACTGTGGTCTTAGTTTGCGTGACAGACAGGGAGACATGGGATTGGCCAGCCGGCCTCTTAACTTCTGTGTCCCGAAGGCCCTATTCCCCCACCCTGCACTCACTCACTTCTTCCATTTTCCCTTTCTCTTTCTTTGCGGTGGGGGGTTGAGACAGGCTGTCCCTATGTAGTCCAGACTGGCCTTGAACTCACGATGTAGCCCAGGCTGGTGACCCTCCTGCCTCAGCCTTCCAAGTGCTGGGATGACAGGCCTGCGTTCGATGGCTGGAGGGCTCCCCAAAGGGCAGGGGCACTCCTGTCCCCAGCCCTGCCCCAAACTGAGGACTCAGTGGCCCCATGTGGCTGCTGTGGGCAGTAACCCTGCTTTTCTGTGCCTCAGTTTCCTCTTAGGGAAATAGCAGTTAAGTCCACATGGTTGATAGTGTCTCGGTCACTCACATCCTGTCTGTCGAGGTTTTTCCTTCATCTTCTCTTGGTCTGGTTGTGTGGCCAGTTGCTAAAAGAGGGCCGGCTCCAGCTGGCCTGTTTAGTCCTGCCCATGTTGGCTTTCTGTATTTCATGGCTCTGTCATGAGGCTTGGACATATTTTTTGCTGTTTTGCCTCCTGAACACATCACCCTTTTGTCAGTGTGACCCGTGATCCCTTTATCCTGTTCCTGGTGTGGTGAGGCTTTTTCCGCTCATTTACCTTCCACTTGTCTGTGTCTACATTTAAAGCGCATGTCAGGTAACATAAAATTAGGTCTTTTTTAAAAAAAAATTGATTCTGACCAGGTGTGGTGGTGCACACCTGTCATCCCAGCACTCGGGAGGCTGAGGCAGGAGGATCGTTGCAAGTTCCAGACCAGCTTGGGCTACATAGTGAGCACCTGGCCAAAAAAATAGGTTGATAGGTAGATAGATAGATGATAGATAGGTAGATAGATCGATAGATAGATAGAGCGAGGAGAAAAAAAAAAAAAAGCGTGACCCTGTCTCAAAAAAAGAAAAAAAAAAAAGAAAAAAGACAAAACAAGACCAAAAACCAAAACCAAACAAAATGACATTTGCTGTGGTTTTGTGGTCAGCATTATCATCTTTAGATATTAACTTGCCTATTTTTGTATGCTTTTATTAAAAATAGCTTCCCAGCACTCAGGAGGCTGAGGCAGGAGGATCACTGTGAGTTCAAGACCAGCCTAGGCTACATAAGTGAGCTCAAGGCAAGCCTGAACTGCATAGCGAGACTCTGTCTCAAAAAGACAAAAAATTAATTAAAAATAAATAAAAATAGTTATTGGGTTTGATAAAATACTATTTGGGTACTCTTCAAAAAAACTTCATGACTTTTGTTCAGTTTCTAGATGTAATGAATTGTCTTGGGGTTTGTAAATAGTAAATCATTCCTATGGCCTTGGACTAACTCCTACTTGGCTATATACAGATACTCCTCCTTTAATGACTATTTAATGACCGTTCAGATTATGACTCTCCGCTCAGGCTTATGGCCTGTCTTTTTTGTGTACTTCTGTACATTTTTTTTTCTCTTTTTGAGACAGGGTCTCCCTGTGCAGTTCAGGCTGGCCTTGAGCTCACTTTGTAGCCCAGCCTGGTCTCGAACTTGCAGTGATCCTCCTGCCTCAGCCTCCTGAGTGCTGGGATCACAGGCGTGTGCCACGATGGCCGGCTTTGTACATCTTGTTGCGGGAGCCCCGATACCTCCTTTGTACAGTACCCCTTGTTTCTGCAGTGCTGTAGTTTTTGCTGACTGTACTGGTGCAGTCCTGTAATTTTATGTTCTGTTATCCATAACAGTACTGCATGTAAGAGTTACGCAAATAAAAGCAAACTCACCCAGTTGGGGTTTCCTCTGACCATTTCTTTATTCTGAATACTGTAATGTACATACTGTAGGCTGGGGATACAGCTCAGT